AAGAAAAGCACTCGCTCAAACTTGGTTTTACACTGCAATCTGCCTTTAGCTTAAAACTGTCTCTCGGAAACATGCTGTGAAATCAGGGTCTGTGTTTCTAGATTTACAGTTGCAATTTAGCTGTGCTGAATGAACGAATCTCCATATTTTCCATTCTCATATCTGAATGTGTGAGGAAGGCGTTTTCACCTATATTGCTGGGAATACACACTTTCTGTGTTGTGATACAGGCCTACGTATATATATAAGGGGAGGCACCCGCTGAAACTCGGTTTTGCAGCGTAAACTGCCTTAAAATTGAAACCAAATCTATGGCACATTCTTAAAAATCAGGGTCAGTGTTTCTAGATTTACCCATGCCTTTTAGCCTAGCTGAATTAACTCTTCTCCACATGTTAAATTCTGGGAAGGAATTATTGTGGCAAGTGTCCTTCACCTACATTGTTGGGAACAGAGTACTTCTGGATTTTAAAGAAATGCCTTCCTACATACATTAGGTGAGGCACTTCCGGGAGTGTACATTGGTAAGCTTGTCTCCCTCCCTTCAGGGAGGCACTCGCTGAATCTCGGTTTTGGAGCACAAACTACCTTTAACTTGAAACTGGCTCTCTGAAACATGCTGACAAATCAGGGTCAGTGTTTCTAGATATAACCTTGCACTTTAGCATAGCTCGATGAACTCTTCTCCACATTTTCCAATCTGGGATCCGAATGTGTGTAGAAGTCATCCTTCACATAATTTGTTCGGAACACAGATCTTCTGTGTTTGGGAAACAGGCCTCTGGCGAACGCAGAGCCTTCTCTAAGTCCTGTCAGATGCAGAGAGGCTGGTCAAGAACCAGAGTTGGGACTGACGGTAAAACGGGATGGTGAAAAACCTCAAGTCCGCAGGGGTCCTAGGGAAGTAGGGTCCTTGGAACTGCGGAGCAGGTAATGGGAAAGAACTGTAATGCGCTGGGGTTTTGGTCGGGAGCTGGAGTTCGAATGGAAGACGAATAATTCAGGAATGTGAAAGAATCTGTCATTCTTCCGCATACGTCCCGTTTTCTATCTTGTAAAGATACCACTATTTTAGTGAATGTTTAAAGGAAGACTAGTTAGGAGGGTTTTTTTTTGAAAGGCCAGCTATTTCAGGTGTGTAAGATAATATGAAATCAAAATGTCAGCATTGGAGGATGATCATTCATTTGACATTAGTGAATTTCTCTGCTCTGTACAAC